CCCCCCCCCCCACTCTCCCATTCCCCCCCCTCCTTTTTTCCCCAGGGATCGACTTCAAGATCCGGACCGTGGACATCGATGGGAAGAAGATCAAACTGCAGATCTGGTGAGTCGGGGGCAGGAGGGTCTGGGTGAGGGGATGGGGGGGTGAGGGGGTGTTGGGGACCCCCTAAATTCCCCCAAATCCCCCCAAATCCCTCCTTTTTCCGCAGGGACACGGCGGGGCAGGAGCGCTTCAAAACCATCACCACAGCCTATTACCGTGGAGCCGTGGTACGGGGGGGCTCGGGGAGGGGCTCGGGGGTGGGTCCTGGGGGCTCAAACCCCCCCCAAACCCGCGGGACCCCCCCCCCGACCCCCCTTTCCCGCAGGGAATCATCCTGGTCTACGACATCACGGACGAGAAATCCTTCGAGAACATCCAGAACTGGATGAAAAGCATCAAGGAGGTGGGTTTTTGGGGAGGGTTTGGGGGTCGGGGAGGGGTGTCCGAGGGGGTCCTGCCCGTGTGTGTGTCCCCTCCTCCCCCAGAACGCCTCGGCGGGGGTCGAGCGGCTCCTCCTCGGCAACAAGTGTGACATGGAGGGGAGGAGGAAAGTGCGGCAGGAGGCGGCCGAGAAGGTGGGGAGGGGGCTGGGGAGGGGCTTGGGGGGGCCCATGGGGCTGGGGGGGCTTGGTGAAGAGTTCCGTAGGTGCTTGGGGGGATCCATGAGGCGGGATGGTCTGGGGGGGGTCCGTGGGGCTGGGGTGGTCTGGGAACGTCTGTGGGGCTCTGTGGGGCGGGAGGGGTCTGGGGGCGTCCGTGGGGCTGGGGTGGATCCGTGGGCGTCTGTGGGGGGTCCTTAGGGCTTGGGGGGACTGGGGGAATCCTGGGGGGTCTGTAGGTTTTGGGGGGGGCGTCCATCCATAAGGGGGTTCGTCGGAGCTGGGGGGGGGGGCCATCTGGGGCTGGAAGGGTCTGGGGGTGTCGGTGGGGCTGGAGGGGTTTTGGGGGAGTCCGTGGGGCTGGGGGGGTCTGGGGACATCTATGTGTGGGTCTGTTGGGCTGGGACTGAGGGGGCTCTGTGGGGCTGGGGGGGGTCCTATGGGGTTGGGGGGGCTGGAGAGTCCTGTGGGGTTGGAGGGGAAACTGGAGGGGGCTGGGGAATGGTACTGGGGGGGATTGAGGGGGCTTCACGGGACTGAAGGAAGCCGAGGGAGCTCCATGGGGTTGGAGGGGTCACAGGGAGGGTTTTGGGGGGGCTCTGTGGGTCCGGAGGGGTCACAGGGGGGTCCCGGTCCCTCAGTTGGCCAAGGAACACGGGATTCGCTTCTTCGAGACCAGCGCCAAGTCCAGCAAGAACGTGGAGGAGGTGAGGGGGGGTCTGGGGGGAGAGGGGGGGTCCCAGAGAGTGTTGGGGGTCCGGGAGGTGAGGGGAAGTCCCAGGGGGTGAGGGGGGGTCCAGGAGGTGAGAGAGGAGTCTTGGAGGTGAGGGAGGGTCCCGGGAGGGGGGCAGCTGCACCCCCAAAGGCACTGCCCCTCCTCCATTGGCCACCCCCTGTCCCCCCCCAAGGCGTTCCGGACGCTGGCCCGGGATATCCTGCACAAATCCTTCCGGAAAGGCGTGAGTGGGGCCGGGATTGAAGGGGGGGGGTGAGGGGGGGCAGGAAAGGGACACCCCCTGTGTCCCCCCCCATCCTGACCCCCTCCTCCCTTCGCAGCCCCCCGGCAGCAGCAGCAGCAGCACCAAGGCCCTGCTGGAGCCCGGACCCCCCAAAAAGGCCGGCGGGAGATGCTCCCTGGGGTAGGGGCTCGGGACCCCCCTGGGACCCCCCCGGGACCCCCCCGGGGCAGCGCGGGCGCCTCCTTGGGGAGGCCTGGGGGGGTTTTTGGGGGGGTTTGGGGCTCCCCCCCCACACCTCCTCGTGCCATAAAGCCCCGCTGTGCCTTGTCCCGGCTCCGGAGTGTCTTTGGGGTCGGGAATTGGAGGGGGATCGGGAACTGGGGGGGAGTCGGGAATGGGAAGGGGGGATGGGCTTGAGGCCACGCCCGCAGAGGAAACCACGCCCCTGCACACCAAATTTGACAGGAGACCACGCCCATCGCCCGAAAACCACGCCCCCGCTAAATTATTTGATTAAACCACGCCCCCTCCATAAAACCACGCCCCTTTATAGTAAATCCACCAACGCCACGCCCACTCCGTTCAAAAGGACGCGCCCAGGCGAAAACCACGCCCACCACCACAAAACTTGGCGAGAGACCACGCCCTCTCAATGGGAGCCACGCCCCCTCGCGCGCACATCGAGTGCTGGCGCGAAACCACGCCCCTTATTCATATGCAGAGGAGGCCACGCCCCACGCGCGCATCACATCTCGGAATCCCCGCCCCCTCAGGTTGAACGCCACGCCTACTCGCTGAAACCGCGCCCCCACAGGCGAATTCTCCTCTCCCATTGGCTCCCCCGCGCCAAGCCCCGCCCTTCCCTTCCCGGCAGCCCCCGCGGTCCAAGATGGCGGCGCCGGAGACGCAGCGGGGCCGGGCCGGGTTGTCCCGGTGATTCCCGGGGGATCCCGGAGGGTCCCGGGGCTTCCCGGGCACTTCCCGGTGCCGCGATGGGCCCCGCGGTGCTGCTGGCGGTGCTGAGCGCGGTGCTGGGCGCGCTGCGGTGAGCGGGGCCGGGGGGGGGCTGGGAGGGTCCCGGGGGGGTTCGGAGGGACCGGGGCCCTCACGGCGGCTCCTCTGTGCCCACAGCCCGGCAGCGACGGCGGCGGCGGCGGCGGCGGCCATCGAGGAGCGGCCCGGTGAGCTCGAGATCGGGCCGGGGTCTGGGGGAGCTCTGTCTGGGTTCGGGGGTCTAGGGGGCCGGGCTGAGCTGGACTCGGTTGGGTCCCGGGAGCTCGAACCGGAGGCGGTCTGGGGGCCTCGGTCCAGGGTCTGAGAGCTCGGTCCGGGGTTTGGGGTCTCGGTCCAGGGTCTAGGGGCTCTATCCGCTCCCGCCTGACCTCTCCCCCCCTCCCCAGCGAGCCCCGCGGTGGCCACGCCGTGCTGGCGGGAGGAGCAGTTCGTGGTGGCCCAGGAATGTGCCCGGTGCTCCGAATTCCAGATGGTGAGCGGGGCTGGGACCCCCCAACCGGGGCGGTGGGACCCCCAACCGGGGGGCTGGGACCCCCAACACCGGGGGAGCTGGTTGGGCTGGGAACCCTCCCCTCCGCCTTGCCCTGAGGGCTCCAGTGGGATCGGGGAACCCCAGAATTGGGGGGGCTTTGGGTCTGGGGTCCCCCCTCACTCGGGGGGTCCCGGGGGGGTCTCTTCCTGCCCTCAGAAGACCCTCCCGGACTGTGCCCCCACCGGGTTCATCGAGAGGATCAACTGCCCCACGTCCCAACGGGAGGAGTTCAAGAGGTGAGATGGGGTGTGGGAATTCCCTGTGGGATCGGGAATTCCAGTGGGAGTGGGGTCTGGAATTCTCACACAGGATTGGGGCTGGAATTTCCCTTGGGATTGGGACTGAGAATTTCCGTGGGATCAGGAATTCCCTGTGGGATTGGAATCTTAAATTCCTATGGGATCCGGGCTGGGATTCCCCTGGGATTGTGGCCAGAATTCCCATGGCATTGGGGCCAGGATTCCCATGAGATTGGGGCTGGGAATTCCCGTGGGATCAGGGCTGCAATTCCCACAGGATCCAGAATTCCCACAGGATCCAGCCTGGAATTCCCCTCAGATCCATCCCGGGACTCCCACAGGATCACGGCTCGAATTCCCACGGGATCCATCCCAGAATTCCCCTGGGATCAGAACTGGAATTCCAGTGAGATCCAGACCAGAATTCCCAGGGGATCAGGGCCGGAATTCCCACGGGATCCATCCCAGAATTCCCCTGGGATCAGGACTGGAATTCCAGTGAGATCCAGGCCACAATTCCCACAGGGCCAGAATTCCAGTGGGATCCAAGCCAGAATTCTCATGGGATCAGGGCCGGAATTCCAGTAGGATCCAGGCCACAATTCCCCTGGGATCAGGGCCAGAATTCCAGTGGGATCCAGACCAGAATTCCCACGGGATCAGGGCCAGAATTCCAGCGGGATCCATCCCAGAATTCCCCGTGGGCTCAGGGCCGGAATTCCCGTGGGATCCATCCCGGCATTCCCGCTCTCTGCCCGCAGCTGCCGCTCGGCCGCGCTGGAGTCGCGGTGGTTCTGGCGCTTCGTGGGCTCAGCTCTGGCCGTGGCGGCGGCGGCCGCGGCGCTCGTGGTGCTCCGGCAGCGGGAGCTCGACCGCCGGGCCCGGGAGAAGGTCCGCAAGCAGATCGAGTCCATCTAGGCCCGGCCGGAGCCGGAGGGGCCGGGAATCCCGCCGGGAATCCTCTGGGATCTGTGCTGGGAATGTCCCCGGGGAGCAGGGGGTTCCCCCAGGGATCCCCCCCCCGGCAAGGGGGTCCCTGGGAGCGGGATTGGGAATAAATCCTGGTCCTTGTGCCCGGAGCGACGCCGTGTTTGTGCCCTGGGGGGTCCCTGTGCCCTCTCCCACTGGGATCTGCCCCGGGAACAGCCTGGGGGTGCCAGGATCCCACTTTTGAGGACCCAGGAGCCCACCCTTAGGGGTTCCAGGATCCCACTATTGGGGGTTCCAGGATCCCACTCTTGGGGTCCCAGGATCCCACCCTTGGGAGTTCCAGGATCCCACTCTTGGGGTCCCAGGATCCCACCCTTGGGAGTTCCAGGATCCCACCCTTAGGGGTCCCAGGATCCCACCTTTGGGGTCCCAGGATCCCACCTTTGGGGTCCCAGGATCCCACTATTGGGGGTCCCAGGAGCCCAGCCTTGGGGTTCCAGGATCCCACCCTTGGGGTGCCAGGATCCCACCCTTGGGAGTTCCAGGATCCCACCACTGGGAGCTCCAGGATCCCATCCTTGGGGACCCAGGATCCCACTCTTGGGGGTCCCAGGATCCCACCCTTGGGAGTTCCAGGATCCCACCCTTGGGGTCCCAGGATCCCACTATTGGGGGTCCCAGGATCCCACTCTTGGGGGTCCCAGGATCCCACTCTTGGGGTCCCAGGATCCCACCCTGGGAGCAGGATGTGGAATAAATGCTGGTCCTTGTCACAAATCCTGGTTTTTGTCACCAATCCCGGTGTTTTACCCCTGGAGAATGGATCCTTCGGGGGTTCCCAGCACCAGGATCCACCCGAGGGGTCCCCAAGGATCCCACCCTGGGATGTGGGACAAACCCTGGGCGTTGTCACCGGAGTGTTTGTCCCTTGGGGGTGTGTGTTCCCCCCCCCATTCCCGATCCCCCAACACACCTTGGGATGCAAACGGAGCGTGGGTTTATTCCGAGGGGTCTCCAGGTCACATCTCGTCCCCGTGTCCCCCTGTCCCCATGTCCTGCTCGGAGGAATTGGTCCCTGGATCCCTTCCAGGAGGGGGGAACCCCTCCCCAGACCCCCCCCCGGCTCCGTCCTCCGCTCCCAATCCCGGCTGTGCCCCCCAGCCCCACCCCGGGATCGGGGGGTCTCCGGCCTCTCCCGGCTCCTGCCGTGTCAGGATGTTCCTGGAGATCACTGTGGGGACCGGGAAGAGCGGGATGGGCAGCGTGGGGAGGGGGCAAAGCTGTGCCCACCCCCCACCCCCATCCCGGAGCTCCGGTACCTCCGGTGGGTCCGAGGCCGTCCCGGTGCTCCTTCTGCTGGAAGGGGCTGGAGCTCGGGAGCAGGATCAGGCCCAGGGACAGGAACAGGATCTGGGGGAGGGACGGGAGCTGTGAGTCCCAGGGCGGGTTGGGGGGTCCCGGGGGGGTTCCAGGGGGGCCGTACCAGGACACAGGGGCCGGTCTGGGCAGCCTTGGTGGACGTTTCCTTGATCAGCGCCTGGAGCTGCTGCAGGAGGGACCTGCAGGAACAGGGTTGGCTCCTGCCCTTCCTGGAGACCCTCCCGGTGCCCCCACCCCCAGAGACCCCATCCTGGCTCCTGCCCCTCCTGGAGACCCCTCCCAGTGACCCCATCCCAGTGTTCCCTTCCCAGGTCTGTGCCCCTCTCCCAGTGTCCCCTCCCAGTGACCCCATCCCAGTGTTCCCTTCCCAGGTCTGTGCCCCTCTCCCAGTGTCCCCTCCCAGTGCCCCCATCCCAGAGACCCCCATCCCGGCTCCTGCCCCTCCTGGAGACCCTCCCGGTGCCCCTTCCCAGGTCTGTGCCCCTCTCCCAGTGTCCCCTCCCAGTGCCCCCATCCCTCCTGGAGACCTTCCCAGTGCCCCCATCCCTCCTGGAGACCTTCCCAGTGCCCCCATCCCAGAGACTTCATCCCAGAGCCCCCCATCCCAGAGACCCCCATCCCGGTTCCCGCCCCTCCTGGAGACCCTCCCGGTGCCCCCTTCCCAGGTCTGTGCCCCTCTCCCAGTGTCCCCTCCCAGTACCCCCCATCCCGGCTCCTTGCCCCTTCTGGTGCCCCCATCCCAATGCTCCCCGTCCCGGCTCCATTCCCATCCCGGTGCCCCCCGTGTCCCCCCCCCCGCCCCTCACCCGTTGCTCTTCTCCAGCTCCCGGACCTTTTCCCGCAGCTCCCGGTTCAGGGCCGAGCACGCGGCTGCTCTGCAGGGACGGGGACAGGGACGGTGAGGGGGGGGGACACACCCGGCCGCGCCGGGATGACGGGAATGCCGGGATAACGGGAATGCCGGGATGACGGGAATGCCGGGATGACGGCCCCGGCCCCACCTGCTCTCCAGCCCATCCAGGTATTCCTTCCTCCTCCTCCTGCTGTCCTGCGCCGACTGTTTGTTCCTGATCTTCCTCCGCACCTTCTTCAGGAGCCGCTCCTCGGCCTGGGGGCACAGAGGTCACCCCCGTCCCCCCTCCCTTCGTGTTCCCCCCACAGCTGGGTGAGGGGCTGGGTCACCCCTGTCCCCTCCTGACCCCCCCTGTGTCCTCTCCCACGTGTTTGAGGGGCAGGGTCGCCCCTGTCCCCTCCGGACCCCCCCGTGTCCCCTCCCACGTGTTTGAGGGGCAGGGTCGCCCCTGTCCCCTCCCTGTCTCCCCCCGTGTCCCCCACAGGTGGGTGAGGGGCAGGGTCACCCCTGTCCCCCCGACCCCCCCCGTGTCCGAGGGGCAGGGTCACCCGTGTCGTGTCCCCCGCCCCCGTGTCCCCTGCCACGTGTTTGAGGGGCAGGGTCACCCCTGTCCTCCCTCGACCCCCGCGTGTCCCCTCCCACGTGTTTGAGGAGCAGGGTCACCCCTGTCCTCCCTCGATCCCCCCCGTGTCCCCTCCCACGTGTTTGAGGAGCAGGGTCACTCCTGTCCCCCCACCGTGTCCCCTCCCACGTGTTTGAGGGGCAGGGTCACCCCTGTCCCCCCGATCCCCCCATGTCCCCCCCGTGTCCCCCCCACCTGGGTGAGGGGCAGGGTCACCCCTGTCCCCCCGACCCCCCCATGCCCCCCCCGTGTCCCCCCCACCTGGGTGAGGGGCAGGTCCCCGGGCAGGGTCACCCCCTCCTGCTCCAGCAGCCGCTTCTCCTCCTCCGTGAGCCGGAGCTGTGGGACGGGGGGGGGACACACGGATGGACTGGGGGCACTGGGAATGGATTGGGAGGGGGGGGTGGGATGAACTGGGGGTGTCCGGGGACGGACTGGGGGGCTCTGGGGATGAACTGGGGGGCCGGGGGAGGTGCAGGGACTCACCACGGGCAGGGGGACGTGGACGGGTCCGGGCAGGGGGGGCAGCGCGGGGTGCGGGGGGCACAGGGGGGGGCTGAGGTCACAGACCACCTCCAGCAGCACCGGGGGGGGGTCCGCGGGCCGGGGGGGCTCCGGGGCGGTGCCGCAGGCGAGGTCGGGGTTCACCGTCAGCCCCAGCAGCTCCTCGGCTCCGCTTCCCTGCGAGGGGGGGGACGACACGCGGTGGGGACCCCCGGGACACTCCCGGGGACCCTCGAGGGGTCCCGCTCGCCCCACGCCCCCTCCCACCCCACTCACGTCCTCCCCGAGGAGTATCACGGTCTGGAATCCCGGTACCGACAGCGAGGGGGGGTCCGGGAACAGCTCCAGGAGCTCCGGGGGCTCCATCGGGGCTCCCTGGGGACCCCCCCGCGGGACCCTCGCTCCGCTCCGAGCCCCGACGCCGCCGGGACGGGTCCCCCGTGCCCCCTCCACGGGGTCCCCCGGACCCCACCGCGGTCCCCGGCGGTGCCGCCGCCTCCGCCCCGTCCCGGGGCTGGGACCAGGATCTCCGGGATCCCGGGGACTCCCGCCAAGTCCCGCCTCGACCGGGAAGGGCCGGGAACATCCCGCCCCCGCCGGGACACCGGGAGGGCACCGGGGGGGGGTTCGGGGGAGTCGGGGCTGTCCCGGTGCCGCGTCTCGGAGGGTCCCGCGGAGGACCCGGGAAGCGGGGTCGGGACTGGGGCGGCTCCGGACTGAGACCGGTGCCCCCCCCGCGCCCTCCGGTGAGGGGGTCGGTGGGGATGCGGGGGATGGACACGGGGGGGATACGGAGGTGACACGGGGGGGACACGGCGGGGACACGAGGGGGGACACGGGGGGGACACGGGGAATCCCCCCCGTCCCGTGCCGGACCGGCGCCCGCGCCGCTCGCTTCCCATTGGCTGCGCAGCCCGTCACTCAGTGACGTCAGGGGAAGTTTCGCGTCGCCATTGGCTGAGCCCGCGGCGCCGGCCCCGCCCCCCGGAGCGCCCGGGACTCGGGGGGATGTGACGGGACGTGAGTGCGGGAACGGGGACGAGGGGGGGTCTGGGGGGGCCTGAGGGTCCTGGGGGGGCCTGGGGTCATGGGGGGGCGGTCCCGTGATTCCCGTACGGGGAACCCGTCCCCATAACGGTTCCAGTTCCCGGTCCCCGGTCCAGGTCCTGGTCCCCGATCCCGGTCCCCAGTTCCTTATTCTGTTTTGATCCCGGTCCCGTTCCTTGGTCCTGGTCCCCGATCCCGGTCCTTGATCCCCATCCTGGTCCCGGTACCCCATTCCCGATCCCGGTCCTCCGTCCTGGTCCCGCTCCCTGATTCCCGGTTCCCAATCCCGGTCCTCGATCGCGGTCCCAGTCCCGGTCCTTGATTCTGGTCCCAGCCCTTGATCCCGGTTTCGGAAAACCTGTTCCCGATCCCAGCCGGGATCTCTATCGCGGTCCCGGTCCCGATCCTTAAACTTGATCCCGGCTCCTTGTCCCCAGTTCCCCATCCCGGTCCCGGACAACCGATTCCCGGTCGCGATTCCACTCCTGGTCTTAGATCCCAATCCCAGCTCTTGATCCCGGTCCCTAGTCCTCGGTTCCCGATCCTTGATCCCTGTCCCAGTCCCCGGTTCTCCATCCCTGTCCCGGAAAAGCCACTTCCGTTCTCGGAAAAACCCGATGTCTGTCTCTGTTCCCGCTCCCTGTTCCCATTCCTGTTCCCGCTCCCTCTTCCCATTCCTGTTCCCGATCCCGCTCCCTGTTCCCGATCCCGCTCCCTCCCTCCATTCCCGGAGGCCCCTCCGGGGGGGTCTGTCCCGGGTGAGTCACCGGGGCCGGGGGGCGGCTCCGGCCGCTCTGACCGGCCCATTCCCGTTCCCGTTCCCATTCCCATTCCCGTTCCCATTCCCATTCCCGTTCCCAGCCGCGGTTCCCGGTCGGAGTTTCGCCGGGATCGGGATGGACACGGGGGCCGTGCTGGCCTGGAGCCCCGGGGGGGACCAGTTGGAGCCCCCGCCGGGACTGGGGGTCAAACTGGGCTCGCTGGTGCCGCTGCTGCTGCTGCCCCTCGCCTGCGGCCTCGCCCCCCTCTGCTGCTTCCGACAGCCCCCCGGTACCGGGCTCGGGGGGGTCGAGGGGGTCGGGGGGGTCCAGGGGTCCGGGGGGGTCCAGGGAGTCCCAGGGAGGGGGTGGGATCAGGGG